CCGCCGCGGGGCCCCCGCACGGCCGCGAACCCGCGCGGGCCGCCTTCCCCGAGATCCCCCTGGACGGCACCCTGGCCGCTCCGGACTCCCCGGGCAACGCGAGCACGCTGCAGCCCAACGTGGTGTACATCACCCTGCGCGCGCGGCGCAGCAAGCCGGCGCACATCCGCGGCACCGTGAGGCCCAAGCGCAGGAAGAAGCACGCGGCGGCGGCCTGGGCGGGCGCTGGCCGCGGGGTCCCCGTGGGAACACCCTTACAGCAGCAGGCTGAGGCGCAGGGAGCGGGCCCCGCCGAGGCCGGGGTGCGGGGGGCTGGGGGGCCCCGTCCAGGCCGCCTCCAGCTGCCCGCGGCCAGGGAGAGCAGCATCAGGCTGTACAGCGCGCGCGCGCCCTCGTGGCTGAGCGGAGACGACATCCGCAGCCTGCGCCTGCTGGCCGACGCCGCGGGGTCCCTGCAGCCCGAGTCCCCCGCGCTCAGCGGGGCGCGCCTGCTGCTTCTGGGGGACCCCTCGGACGGCGCCCCGCCCCGCTGCGGCCCCAGCCCCTGCGCACTGCTCAAGCAGCCCCTGGACATGAGCGAGGTGTTTGCCTTCCACCTGGACAGGATCCTGGGGCTCAACAGGACGCTGCCCTCGGCGAGCAGGAAATCCGAGTTCACCCCAGGTAACCCTCCTGCGCTTGGTGATTTCGCAGCTGTTGGGGAGGATCCGGGCTCTTTCTCTCCTCTCCTTCACTCTGTCTCTAAATGATTTCTCTCCACCCACGCCTCCCATTTGAACTGAGCCGCAGTGGAGCGTCTTCCCACAGCCGGGCGTTTGCTGTTTTCCCAGCCTGGGAAGGCGAGAGCAAGCCTGCGCCGCGCCGCCTGCGTGCGCTCCGCTCCCAGGGCTTGTTACGTCCGGTTAAAGCCGTGGCATGTGCGCGGGAGAGGGGAGGCCAGGGTGGGCGCGAAGAGCGTGCTGAGCGGCAAGCGTGTCATTCTAGGTTCCGACGCAAGTGGAAGTGGGAGTTAGTTCTCAGGAAGCTTTCAAAAACGGGAGCGAATTACCTTTCTCCAGCAGATGGAACCTTTTTAGAAGGCCCAGCACCAGAACCAGGGAGAGCCAACCTGTCCACTAACTGTTCTCCCCAGTGGATTTAAACCCTTCATACACTTAAAAAGAATGCAAATGAGGCAAAAATTGCTGGTGTGTCCAGCGTGTGTACCGACCAGCAGCGTAAGATCGTCCAGCTTCACACCACTGGTGCACGGGCCTCAGGTCCAGGATTCTGTCTTCCTGGGAGTCAGATGCCGCGGGAGGTTCGGGTCCGAAGCCAGGCTCTGCGTCTGTGGTCACACGCTGGCACGTGAAGGGTGTCCTCGCATTGCTGAGCTGGGTCGGGGCTCGAATCCACGGTGGTGCATCAGTCAGTGGCTTTTGTTTGTAGGCGGAATGATCCCAGAAGTTACAACTGGGGAATCCAAGATGGCCCCATAGGCTGCAAGGGAGCTGAAAGAGCTTGGAAACTCAAAAGATAGTCCCTGTGGCCATGAAAGGCTCCCAACAATGGTGCAATGGTGCTTTTCAGGAAGCCAGGGATGCAATGGATTAAACCTCTTGGGAGTACATGAGACTGTAATCTCATTTCCATTGGCTTTGGGTGATAACTTAGTTTTAGAATGGAGAGGCTTTAGTACCAGTGGTTTGCTTGCTGTAGAGTCACCGTGTGTTTTGCAGTTCGTACTCTACCAGGACTGCAGCAATGCCAATTAGATCACACATTTAATCCAGTGTTGGTAGAAACTAAATCTTACTGAATGCATATTACTCAGTAGGCACCGTACCCGTGGATTCATAGAGTCCATGTAGGCGGGGACTCCTGTAAGTCTCATGATGAAGCTCTTGAGGCAGGTTAAAACACTGAGACTTACTCAGGCAAGGTCATTGGCCTCCAGCCCCACACCGGTAGATGGCTCAGCAGGGTTTTGAAAGGAGGCCCAGCAAACTTGGGAACGTACATTATTACTCTTGGATCCGAGTGAGTATGCAGTTTATCACCTAGATTAGGACTCACAGGTGTCAGCGCACAGCCTGGTGGGTACTGGGATGAGAGGCGCAGGTGGAGACTGTTCTGAGCGAGCAGTTTGTCCGATCCCCTTCGTCGTACTCTTTTGTCACTCGTGTTCATGTCTGCAGGTCCCAGAGAAGAGCAGGTGAGTCCTGGATACAAGCTGAGGCGGGGGTCTGTGACCTTTGAGCTTCCCGAGGATGCTCTTAAATGACGCAGGGAGAATAAAGCGGTGCCTGAGCGCTCAGCCTGGTCTGCTGGGTGTGAATTTACGAACTATCTGACCTGAAATGCTGCCTCTGTCCGCCTCAGTTTCCTCAGCTGTGAAATGACACCGCTGCTTGTGGCATGAGGTCATTGTTAGTTTGTAAGTCGGAAACACTTCTTAGCGTAAAGTGAACCTTCCGTAAGTGTTGGCCTTTACCGTCACACGTGAACTGCTGAGTTCACTGAGTTGTTCACAAACCCCTCAAGCCTCGAAGATCGCTTCTGTAAGTGAAAGGTCGATAACTGAAAGTCTGATCTCCTGATTGCCTAATTAAGCTTTTTATTGCCGGGATTCACCTGAGATATACTTATACCTGCGCTTTGACTTTTCGGCGGCTTTGAGAATAATGATTCAATTCGAAGAAGTTTATTAATCCAGCAGGGCCTGAGTGTTCTCTTTGCGTTCATACCCAAGTATCCACGGGAAGAAGTCAGTCGGGTCCTAGTGATGCGGCTCAGGTTGATGAATTAAATTCCTAAGATTTATCTCAAGCAGTGCCAGACCTTCCTTTGTTCTCTCTGATGCTGCTCACACTTAGTTCCTTAAAGACGTGAGTTCAGGCCTGTTTCCTCAAAGCCTGTGAAATGATTCACGTAAAATGGTGGACACACTTCACTATAGAATTCTGGGCACGGTGGTTGGCATAGTGACGCAAAGTACATAAAAGACGAATTCTCGTTGTAGAATAGACACGCTTAGGGTCTCAGTGTCTCTCAGTATCTCATCCTGTTCTTTTTCTGACCTCTCTCTTTTTTCTCCTGATTGCTGTAGAAGTGTGAATTCACCTTCTAAGGACCTCCGAATGTTCCTTTTTTGTTGAAGCTTAGCTGTATTTGACCCTGTGTCTACCCAAGGAAGTGACAGATCTTCTAACTGCCCCGCATCTACTTCTGCCTCGTCCTGTGTTAACATTTAATGTAATGCGTGTTTGTATTATAAGTACTTGCTTAATCATCGTCTTTTTCCCACTCTTCTCTAGGTACATTATTGCAGAGATAATTCTTCTTTATTTAGGGTTTTTTTTTTTGATACTGGGGATTGAACTGGGGCCTTCACATTGAGCTACTGCCCAGACCTTTTTATTTTTTTATTTTGAGACAGTCTCACTAATCCACTGAGTTAGGCAGGCTGGGTTCAAACTTGTGATCCTCTTGCCTCAGCCTCCCGGAGTATTGTGGCCACACATGTGTGCCACAGTGCCCAGCTAATCCCTACATATTTTATTGCCTTACTTTTAGATCTTAGTGGAAACTCTGGCACATAATAGTGCTCAATAAATTTTTTGAATGAATGAAAGAAGGCATTGTTCCCCTGACTGTAAACAGTTTACCTATTTTGCCTCCCAACCTCACTGACAAGTACCGTATTTTTTTTAAAAAGTCTTAAATCCAGGCTAGGATTTCTGCTGGAGTATCTCACCAAAAGTTCACTGTGGCCAGGCATGGTAGCACATGCCTATAATCCCAGCACTGTGGAGACTGAGGCAGGGAGATTGCCACAAATTGGAGGTGAGCCCGGGCTCCATAGTGAGTTCAAAGCCAGCCTGACCTATATAACAAGATCCTGTCTCAAAACAAACAAACAAACAAAACCCAAAACAAAGAGTTCATCATGGAGGTAATGGAAAATGTCCTTGGCAGGTTCCTTATAATGCAATACTGTAATAAGGTCTGTAAGGCTTGCTGTTTCAAGCGTCCTTGTTACCAACATGGTCTGTTCTTACCGTACCATAGTATGATTAGAAAATGGGTTTTCTGAAGGAAGAACAGTGGGATTTAGCTTCGGTATACATTTATCTGATGCTCTGGCTTGGTCCCGGAGTATACCTTTTCCTATCAGGGAGATGACCAAATCCTGTAACTAATCTACCCTAAATATTGTTTCTGCTCTTTGACGTTCAATTAATGTTTATGAGAATAAATTCATACCTAGTGCAAGGAAGGCAGCCAGTCTATGTTGCATATTGCATGTAGCTATTTGGGTCATCTCAGTCAATCTTTCCAAGAATTTTATCCAGTAGATAGTTTTTCAGGGGCTGGGGATTTAGCTCAGTGGCAAAGCACCTGCCTGGCAAGCACCTGCCTGGCAAGCACAAGGTCGTGAGTTCAATTCCTGGTACCGGAAGAAAAACAGTAGATAGTTTTTCACCTCAGTTGCTCAAGGCTATGCAAGGGCTGTGAATGAGGTCTTGCGTCTTATCAGGAATTCAGTCTGTCTCTTTCTTTGTCTTTTCCTGATTTCCAAGGCCTTCCTCTTTTTGTCAATCTGCTTCCCTCTGCAAATCCTCAAAGCGGCCACCAGTGTGTATCCTTCCATCGTCACAGCCGATGGACGGGCGCAGCTAGTGATGTAACAGCGCACGGTGACTGACACAAGTCTGCACAGATGCGGGCTACGGTCGCCTTTCCTTCAGGGAGAGGACTTCGCCTGTAGCGGAGAGTCACTGAATGTTACTGAACACCAGACTCCAAGCTGCTGTGAGAGACGTGCTTGACAACAGCTTCACCCAAGGGGAGACGATGTATCATGTGTGCCCGGGACACTTCCAAAAGCTTTCTTTTTTTAATGCAAAACTCCAGTAGTTAAGATTGCCCCCCTTCTCCCCTCTTTCTTCCTTCCCTTTCCTTTTTTTCCCCCCAGGACTGGACATTGAACCCAGAGCCTTCACACTAAGCTACATCCCCAGACCTGTTTATTTTTTATTTTTGATAGTCTTGCTAAGTGGCACAGGCTGGGTTTGAACTCATGCTCCTCCTGCCTCAGCCTCCCAGAGTGCTGAGATTACAGGTGTGGGCCACCACTCCCGGATTAAACTGCTTTTCTTGTTTCCGTAAGCGACCATAGGTGTGTGTGACTGAACATGCTGGTTTATCTTCTGCCTGGCCTTGTGAGACTCTCAGTTCATTACAAAAACCTGCAGACCCCGGACAGTGTTGAGGTACCTAGACGACCTTTCAGAGCAGATTGTTTTGAAGTACTTATCTAGGCTGAGCACAGACCTGACTGAGTCCCTGTAAAAGTTGAGCAAGGAGGAAGAGAAGCTGGCCTTCGATTTAGCAGCTTCGCCAAAGCCTCCCTCCTCGCCCACGCACAGGGAAGTGAAGGACTCTCCAGGGACCCCGCTTTGGTAGCATTTAGCACCGTACTACTTTTCATTCCCAGCAAGGAAGATGCATTATGCATGCTTTATTTTTAGGATGCCGCTTTATGGCCACAGAGCTGTCATACTGAATTAAGGTAGCCGAGCTCCGGGAGTTCTGTGTGGCGGGCTGCTTCCGTGACAAACTGCAGCCCCTGCACGCTTCCATTTAAATTCATTGTAGATCCCAGGTTGCTCGCTGCTTCC